TATTCATCCTTCTTGTCCAACAAATATTTTGTAAAAATAATCATTACAAATAATCATTATTACAAATATACATGAAATTTGTTATACATTAAATATATAAACAATTATTTAAATAATTAATATGAAATGGAAGAGGTAGAATCATTGAATTTTCAAACCAAATTTTCATTTGATATCATAGAACTCACTGACGACGAAGAAAATTTATGCATACAATGTAAAAGAAATATTATGTGTTGTCGATAATATCTCGATAGAAAGATATAAAAGAGCAATTGAATTTTGGACAAGTGATAAGATAAATCTAAGAAGAAATCTAAGAAGAATTGGAGGAGTGAAACAAAGATTTCAAAATTTTCATAAAAATTTTAACTGATGTTCATGTAAACAATATATGTAAATAAAACTATGCTTCAGCAAATCTATTTTTTACATAGTGTTGCGATAATAAGACATTACGATACGATAAATAAATAAAATAAAATAAAATGTTGATCAATAAAATATATTCATAGCATTGCAATAGCTGCCGTACGGTCAAAATTAAATGAACGATATTTTATAAAAGATAATCATTTTTTTATGTGTAATTTGTATGTGTAATTTGTTTTTAATCCACAATACTTTATATATTCTTTGATACATTATCAAAAATATTTGGGTAAATATAGTTCAATACAGTGATAGTTCAATATTACAATGATGATGTAGTATACAATGATATTTATCTATCATTATATAGGTATAAGTTAGGTTAGGTTAGATCTTTCAGAAGTGATGCCCACCCGTAGGAGGGACGGAACATACTGTCTCCATGCATAAACTTTTCAATATGAAGCAAAGTACCATATGGACACATACATTTTCCAACGCGAAGCAAGGTTTCTCAGAGGTTTATAATTTTTCACAATGATATTTAATACTAGAAGTACTGAGCGATCATTACTGATCGTTTCTGTTTCTTAGATTAATAGTTTGTTTCTTGTGTAAAAGATAGGATGCTGAAATTTTCTGATTTTTCATAAATTATTTTCTTTATTCTAATAAAACATTTAATTTTTCTATTTTACTATTTTCTTTATTGTTATAGCATTTCACACGACTACAAGTACCAAATGGTCAAAAATGACCTCTTATTGTAAAATGTATAAAATCTCATCAAGAACTTTTCTGAAAGAAAATAAAAATATATATTATCTAACAGAAAACATAATAGAATAAATATTTTGGTAACTGGTTGACGCGCAATAACAAATGATAAATTCGATTGAAATGTTTCGCGATCTGCCTCGAAAGCCAAAAGTTGCTACAATACTAACAAATGTTTAGTCGCTTATTGCACGTTGATTGATCGTAATCAAGTGACATAGTTGCTTTCAACACGATTTTTTAGAGTTTAACTGAAAAATGTATACTACTACAATATTTAAAAATTATAAATTATTAATAAAGAAAGATGTCAATAAGAAAAGATAACAATAAAAAGTATTTTATTCTAATTTTTATTCTCTTTACTTATATAATGTTTTATGTTATGATATATTTATTCATGTCTTATTATTATTATATATTTATATAATAACCATATAATATATATAAGTAATAAAATTTAAAAAATATAAACAACAATATTATCATAATTTTTTATCTCATAAAATAATTCAGGTTTTATGACATAATTTATATTATTTATTTCTAAGAAAATTAAAATTTATTTAGAAAATTATTTTTCATTGTTTATATCTTTTTTTATAGAAAAATGACATATTGTAAGGATAAAGAACTGGAAAAAGTTTGGCATGAACTTCAACAAATTGATACAGACAATTCAATGGATGAAAAAGATATATAAGGCCGATTCTAAATCACTATGTGTTAGTGAGATTATGTACATATATAGTACATTCGTCCCCATAAGCAATGGGTGCGGGGTCCGCGGGGCAAGGGAGAGGGAAGTGCGTCACTAGACGCGGAATCCACGGGGTGAGGAGGGGGAATATGACGTGGGTCATGCGAGAGGATCGTTGGCATGATATCACATGGTGCGGGGTCCACCGCCCGCCGCCCGCCGCCGCCGCCGCCACCGCTGATGCTGAATTGAAAGAAAAAATGGAGAATAATCATACTAACGAACGATTATCAATTATTATTAAACTACTATCAATATCAATCTATGTTTATGTGAAACAAGTGGTCGGCATCATATTGAACGTCGATCGAACTGCATTGTATCACTATCATATTACTATCGAACGGCTATCAACGATTATTTAAATTACTATCAACGTCAATCAAACTATTATCAACCACTTGAATATCAATCGAACTGTGTTGTACCATAAATACAAAATATACGATTCAGGCGGGCAGGCTATTTTGGATTATATTCATCTGATT